ATTCATTGTTATTTATTTACAAATTGGACATTGCCATATAATTACAATKAATAGTTGTTTTGTAATCTCATTAGCTGCAATTCATTTAATTAGAATTATTATTAAACCCCTACAGGTTACTCACTGGTTCTGTGTTTGAGGCCTTGATAAAAAAATTAACACTTTTATTTACTATATACATCAACCACCGGGCTGTTAAACCAGTAAAAAACAGAGTTCAGGATCTTTACACGGATCGACAGATTTATTGTTTCAGCAAAACAATGAATCATTTCTTGTTTAACCTATTTCAACACAGAGTGACAGTGGTCACATTGCTGGGGAGTGTGGGAGGGTCAGACAGAATAAAGAGGAATCAGAAATTCTGCAGCCAACTTAAATAACAGGAAGGAAATGAGAGGATTCCTGTCAGAAAGCGACTGAACAAGACATTATCAAGGTAGGAGAATCTGTTCAAATTTCTATTTTCTTTCACCTGCTCCCTTCTTCAGGGGTCGGCACAGTGAGCCAACATGCATCAAGGTTTGAGGATTGTTTTTACGCCTGATGCACTTCCTGATTCAACCACAGGCTGCCATCTGGGGAGCCCTGAGGGGGTTTGAGGGGGGAGTCACACACTCAGTCACAGGCTCGTCTTCTCTAAACTCTGTGCCACCACGACCCAGAGGATAAATTAACACAACTGCATCAAAAACTAAAACATTTAAAGAGAAAGAGAAATTTGAAAGTGTGTGAAACGGAATTTCAAGTAAATAAAAAAACATCAACCATCATTAGAGAACATAAAAAGAGATTTTACTTTTAATAAGGTTTCAGATGGAGTTTGAATAAACTAACAGCTTTTTTTCTATAAAACAAAATGTTACATTGATACATACTGAACTGATGTCTGATGATTAATACTGTTTAGACAGTAAAGCAGCATACCTGTGTTCTCAGGTGAATAATGAATGTTGCTTCCTGCCAGTAGAGGGCGCTGCTGTGACCACAGAGACAACATCATCTCAATTATTTAAAAACCTTTGGAACAATAAGTTCTAATTTTGTTTGTAATTAAATTATATTAAATATGTTTTTTAAACAATTCTAAAAGTAATCAGTGATTTCTTTTGTGACATGTCTTAATGTCAAACAGAAGATGAATTAACGGAGCAAAAACATTTTTTCCCCTGAATTCTGACTTTTGAGATGAAAGTTAGAAATATTAAAAATATTACTATTTTCTGTTTTGTGGCCCTAATCTATGAACGAGGATTAGGGCTACTGAAAAAGAATGAATTTCTCAGAATTTTGAGATTATAGTCAAAATTATTATTATC